TCCTCTCTTGGTGTCCTGGGTATTGAGTAGGAGCACTTGATTTCTTTGCTAGTGCTTCTGCTCGAAGCCTTAATACTTAACATAGGGAACAGCTGGGTGAGTGGAGGGAACAGGCAGAGCCATGAGGTGAAGCTCACGTGGAAATACACTGATGGGATTTGGGTGGTAAAGAGGGGCGAGGAAGGTGCTGCAGCGCTTTGGTAAAGGCAGCAGCACTTTGGTGGTGGATGGGGCAGGAAGGCAGAAGAAGGTGGGATAAAACCAGGGCTACAGGAGATAGGGAAGGTGCAGAGATGCGCTTTCTGCTTGGGCTCTGGCTCTCCATTACCCTGTGAAGAGAGGCTGGGGGTGCAGTGTTCTTATTTATATACATACAAATACACACTGGTGTTTATGGGGCAGTCATTCAGGAGCACTTGTACAGCTCTTGCTTCTTCCTATGGATGTGCCCAAGTGAGGTGCTGCACGGGTGCAGCTAGGTTTTCTTCACTCTCTCCTGTGTTTTTACCTTATTGTACAGAAAACACCAGTCTTCCCATCGCTCCCCACCTTTCTATGGTCACCCCGAAGCACCTGTAAAGGGATTTGAATTGAGGTTTGCTAGGAGCCCTGTATGCACAGGATCAGATGCGGAGGATCAGCTGCTATCAGGATGCTTTCATTTAACATTGGCAGCTGCTCTGGACCTGCAGATGGCTGAGGAAAGCAGAGCAGGCAGGTTTGCTGGGGATAAAGGGTATAAACTGGCACTAACAACAGGTGTAGCTGACATAAACCAGGAGGGCAGCGCAGGGAATGGGGTGTGTGTGAGGGAGCAGTGGGACTGGCCGCCTTTGCCATGGTTTTAGCAATGTTTAATACATCAGTGAATCTGGTTGCTGGATGTTGTGGGTTCAGAGAGTTTATTCCTAAGCAAAGGGGTCTCTCATGAATGTGGTGGTGGTTTCATGCTGCAGCGTGTAGGAGCAGCCGTCTGCCACTGCAGAATTAGGTTCCTTTGAAAGCTAAGGGAGAGCCTGGCTGTGCTGTGCCAAGAGGGCATCAGGGGCCTTTTGGCATCCTCAGGATCACCTGCACCCTTTGGAGCAGCACAGACTCGGTGGGAATGCTGTATGTGATGTCCTGTGGTGGTAGCTATGAGTTCTGAGGGTACCAGAGAAAGATGAGAGGATGCTGTGGGATGCAGATAGCCTCTGTGAATGGTGGCTGCAAGCTCCAGGCTTCAGGCTGTGCTTCACTTGTAGCCTGGCAAGTATTTAAGCATCTCTCCAAAGCAGGAGGCATTAAAGAGATAGATAGAACCTGCAGCACCAATAAACAGCCGAAACCAGATCTATTTCTGCAGAGAGCAGTGCTTTAAATAAGGGGAAACAAAGCAGAAAGCCAACGGGGAAGCTTTTTACCCATAGCAATGTGCCGTAGTTACCCGGTTGCTGCTTCCTGCTTCCCTCATCTGTCGAGATAAATCGGTGGCAATTTAAATGAGAAAGAGTGGAAAGGTGGGAGGAAGTATTGGGAGGGAAAGAGTGAGCTCCCTACCTGCATCGTCCCACTGCCCAGCATCACCCCTGTGTGTGTGGTACCACTGCGGGTACCTGCTTCAGGTGCTCTCCAGGGCATCACATCTACACAGCAGCACGTGAAACCCAAGCTGCTGCATCTTGCACAGTTCTGTGCTGTTGATAGCATTGAAATGTGAGGTGTGGGAAGAGTCAAGTGCGAGGATGGTGCAGACACAGGCTCTGTGTCATGATTTCCCTGTGTGAGCTTTTCCTACCATTTGTCTCCGCTGAAACAGGCTGAATCCTTCTTTAAATGTGACCTTTTCCTTTGCCCACATATAAAAGCAGCAGCAAATCGTGTTCATTCGCTTCAGACCCTGAATCTTGCAACCCAGGGAAGTCTCTGTATGGGTAGCACTGTCCCCAGCACTGTAAAGTGTCTCCCTTTTGTACCAGCTCTGCACTTCCACTAATCCCTTGCCTTGTGTCCTGGCTGGATGCAGTACCTGGGTTGCGACCCCTGAAGCACACTCACTGCAGCTTGCCTTTGCTCTGTAATCTTTTCCCCCTTTTTTAGAGAAAACCCCAAGTTTTGCTAGTTTTGTCTTTGAAAGGATTAATTTAAAGCCTGTATTATAGCATCCAGAGCACGCACTGTACCTATTTCTTACTCAGCAATCAGTGGAGGGGGCCTCTTTTTGTGCCTACGGTGTGGGTTTGGAGGTTTAAATCCTGGTCTAACCCAGATGTCCCCGCTTTGGGAAAAGAGCAATGAGTGTGATGTGGCCAACCCACCCTATAAACTGGCCTGGTTTGGTTTTAATGACTCTTACAAATGTCCTTACAAACCTTTTCTGCTGAGCTCTACCTTTAGTTTTGAAGATCCTCATCCAAAGATCATGCACAGTAACCTGTAAACTTAGGTTGGTTTGGTTGCGTACGGATTGCTCCCTGATGTTGTATTTATGTGGCACATCACACACGTGCAGGCTGTTACCTGGTGGCGTGCTACTATAGAGCTACTTGGTGGTGGAGCGCACCTTGTGCAGTGGGTTAGGGCCCGTGAAGCACTGCTGTAGTGCTGGAACTCACGTGTGCAGCACATTCCAGATCCTCTTGGATGTCACAAGGGCACAGACACACGTTGTCCAGCAGAAAGGATGCACGTCGTGTGTAACTTCAGACACGACTTCCAGTACAACACAGCTGTGATCCTGCAGTAGAAATCACTTCACACCAGAGGATCCAATGCACAGGAGCAGGGAGCACCAGGCTGGAAGCAGTGGGTTCGCCCTGATCAGCCTGTGACTACCAAAGGAAACCAAGGGTGTGGGATTTACCAGCAGAACCCTAAAGAGCCGAGAGCCAGGTTGGTACCAACTGAATGAAGCCAACTGGCCATGAACTCAGTGATGAGTGCAATCACTCTCGTGTTCTTCGTGCTTTCTTCATGTGCTGCCTGTGTGATACTGACAAGAACACCCTTTGTTCTAAACTAGAGATGGCAAAGCAGCTTGTAAGATACTAGAGACTATGGTAAGTGGGAAGCAGATACGAATACAGAGGCTTTGACCTGTGCCCACCCTCCTGGGACCTGGAGTTGTGGACGTCTTTGAGATTTTAAGGAATGGTTTTAAAGACTCAGATTTATGGGAAAGGATGAAGGTTTGGGGAGGAAAAGGGCAGTTCTGCAAGTCTGTGGTGGTAGCTGGAGTGGTATTGGCCACCCTCCTCCTTCATCCTAACAGGAACAGGCAGCTTGCCTTGGTTCTGTCCAAGCACAGTGGCTCAAACCCAGGCAGGCTCACACCGAGGAGAGGAGGGAACACAGTTGTCCTCAAGCTCTGTCCATCCATAGGGCAGAACAGTCTCTTTTAAGGGGATTTTCCACATGGATCAGTCCTGGAAATGGCATCTCACATGTCGTTTTTTTCCCCTCTGGAAAGAGGAGCGGGTGTTGGAGGCTCCTGTTCCTCAATATGTGCGAGCTCCTCTCTCCTTCCCTTCTCCCTTCCACTCCAGTTTATTCCAGAGCTTAAGAGCTGCCATTCCCCACGTGTAACAGGTCACTTCTCACCGTATTTATTCCTTACAGCCCTGTGTGACATGCTAGGTGCCCATGGATGTAGCTGATCCTTTTTATTTTGTAAATAGATTTACCTAACTTTACATTAACTGTATCCTAATAAACTATTTTTGCACCACCCTTTGCATGCCGTGTACCGAGGTGTGTTCTTCCAAAGAGGAGGATGCTACAGGGAGAGCAGAGGCCAGAGCCTGAACATGAGAGCTGTTTGCCTTTACAGTCACTACTACTGAAACAGGTAGCATTTAATAGCAGTAATATGGCTGAAGTAGTGTAAATCTAATGCTGTTGAAGGGGATTTAATAGAGAACCACCTTCCCCAGCCTCTTCCACTGGTGCTCTTTAATAGGGATGCTTTTTCCCCCAGACCCATGCCAGCTTTCTCCAATAGAACTATCTCTCTGATGATGTTAGTCCATGCATCCTAAATAACACTTAAGGATCCACAGGAGTTGTTAATGATTTGGATCTGTGGAACAACCACCCCGCAGGGACTGCCTGGAGCACAAGAACTAGACACCGACATCGAGGTTCTCTGTGAAGGCAGTTAATTTGATAGCGCCCGTCACGGCACTGCTGTTATCAAAGCAAAACTGGTGGCAAAACCTTAAATCACAATGACAGATTTTGAGGCACTTTATACTCAGGTTTAAGCAGTTCATACACAGATGGTAGGTAGGGTTTTAATGGTCTCAAGTGCACCCATCTGTGTTCCACCCTGGAGGGACAGGGATCTCACCTCCCTCCCTCTTACTTGCGCCCCATTCTGTCGCTGTCAACTGCAGCCAGGTCTGCACTCGAGACCGACTGATCCCAAATATCTTCGTTCTTCCCAGATATCCCAACACTTCCCTGCTGGAAGATGAGGGCTCATTAGCACTGGCGACCTCAGGCTTTTACACTGGAGCGCTGCTCAATTTAAACCTTCACCTTAAACCAGAGGAACCCTGTTCTCAATCAAAACACACTTCTAATCTCTGCCGCCTTACGTCTATAGATTTCCTTTACAAACTCAACAATTAAAGCCAACACATAACTAAGAAACATAACTAAGGCATTTAACTCCTGCATGCAAACTTTATCTTAACTCTTCCTTCGTGCTGGGCCACAATTCCTTCCTGGAATACCCCTGAAACACCCGCCAGCACCGTGTGAACATACCTGCACCAGGGCACAGCAACGAGCCTGCCTGCTTTAAGCCCTACAAAGGCAGCCCTGTCACAGCTATCCTCAACACAACTCCCTCTCTAGCTGTGTGGTTCCCTCTAGCATGGGACTGACCCACAGCAAAGCGGGTCGTTCAGGGGAGAGAGAACTTTGCTTCTCAAGAGCTTACCTAAATTACACCCAGGTGGATACTACAGTGATGTCCATATAGGCTGCGAATGCTCTCATCTGCTAATAATCCATATAAGGCAGCTCCATCACTGTCCTTGGGATAAAGAGCTGTTGTTGGTGGGACTGTATTCCTCCCAAATCCTTTCAAACTCATCCAGGTACAGCTTCACGTACTCGGCATCCTCCACCACCAGCACGTTCTCCCGGTTGGTCTGGATGGCCTGCGTGGTCCAGTTGAGGGAGCCGGTGATGAGCATCCTCCGGTCCACGATGGCGAACTTGTGGTGCATGTACCCGTGGCCCTGGTCGTGGCGCACCTGGATCCCTACAACGACACAACCACGTCCTCAGCGGGACTCGAACCCTCTGCCACCACCACCGCCACCACCACCGCCACCACCACCACCACCACCACCACCACCGCAGGCCTCACCGGCGAGCCGCAGGAGGCCGATCTGCGACCCCCTTAGCGCCATGTACTGCGCGTCCGTGACCACCCGGACGCGGACGCCCCGGCGGTGCAGGAGCCGCACGGCGAGACCGAGCTGCGGGCAGGAGAAGGCGAAGAGGCAGATGTCGAGCGAGCGGCGGGCGGACAGGAGCCGCCGCAGCAGGCGGCTGAGGGAGCAGTCGCTGCGCGGCAGCGGGCAGGGGCAGGGTTGGACCGGAGCGCCGGGCCCCGCCGCCTCGGCCAGCAGCGCCTCGGTGCAGCTGGGTTGCGACGGGAAGAACAGCACCTCACGGACCGGGCGACGCCGCCAGCGCAGGGCCGCCATGGCCAGGGCTAAGCCGGCCGCGGCCGCCGCAATGGCCACGGTAAGGCCCCGCCGCCCCGCTGCAACCGGCACCCACATGGTGCCCCCCCCCCCCCCCCCGCCACCTCCGGCGCATGCGGGGCGCGGAGGAGGGAGGGTACCGCAAGGGGTGGCAAGGAGATGGAGCTGTTGGAGCAGCGAGGATAGTGAAGGGGATGGAGCACAGGCTGAGACACTGGGGCTGTGCAGCCTGGAGAAGAGAAGCGGTGCGGAGAGCTTAGAGCAGCTTCCAGTGACTTAAGGGTGCTACAAGGATGCTGGAAAGGGACTCTTCATCAGGGACTGTAGTGATAGGGCAAGGGGTGATGGGTTCAAACTGAACCAGGGGAAGTTCAGGTTGGAGGTAAGGCAGTTCTTCCCTGTGAGGGTGCTGAGGCGCTGGCACAGGGTGCCCAGAGAAGCTGTGGCTGCCCCATCCCTGGCAGTGCTCAAGGCCAGGTTGGACACAGGGGCTTGGAGCAAGCTGCTCCAGTGGGAGGTGTCCCTGCCCGTGGCAGGGATTGGAACTGGGTGAGCTTTAAGGTCCAAAACCATTCTATCCTTCCATGATTCCATCAGTTTGTCTTCAAAGCGTAGCGTTTCGAGGGAAGGAGGGTGGTGAAAGACGGCTGCAGACATGCTTTCTGGTTAATTAAGCTGTGCACATTCCAGCTCTCACTGACGGCAAAAGGAGCGCCCGCGGGATAATCTGGGAGCTGCAGGAACTTGCCCAGGCAATTACTTGATAATCCCATGTATAGATCTGTTCCGGCAGGCAAGAGCATCTGCTTTATGTGTTCACAGACGTAGCAGCTCTCCCCTTTCCTTTCTGTGGCAGTTTATAAGCACCAAGCTAGTGGTTTCCTTGCCCTGGCTCAGGAATGATGCGTTATCCAGAGTCTGGTTGTCCATGACACAGATCAGGACAGAGACAGCGACACTGCAAACAACTCACCCTTTCCACAAGCACGAGGAAGAAGAAGATGAAGCCTCACGCTTGACCTTGTGCCCACCTGTTTGCTGCTTCAGAAGAAACCACACTTCTGTTCAGAAACACAGGATGCTCATGCACCAGCGGCGGGTTTGATGGACATTAGGTTTTAACATCGGGTTGCTTGGGAGAGCTAGTCTTTAAAAGATAAAACCAGTTCAGCAATCAAGCAATGCCAAGTCATGTCTTACCTGCTGTGTTACACAGCTCTGGACTGGACCAGAATAGCTTTCAAGGGCAAAAAGAAGATCTCAGAAAAGACTGCTACAAGAGCAAGCACTGGAAATTGATTTACTGGTCTGTGCCTTTCTAATTACTTCTGTTGCTTTCACCCCACTGACAGTGGGCTTTGTTCTCCCCTCATGACTAGCACATAGGAAACAAGATGCATGCGTTACTCAAAGCCCCATCTCCTGTTTCCTTACTCACAATGTAAGCTTCTTTCCAAAGCCTGAACTTCAACAAGTGCTTTGGTTTTGAAGTAACAGAGTAATGCCTTTGCCCAAGCATGTTCGCTGCTTGCATCTCCTGCAGTTGTTTTATGTCCAGTCAAGCAGTTTTAATGAATGTATCCGAGCATCTCTTGCTCCAGATGTGCCAGAAACTAATACAAAGTTAAGAGGAAAAGGCCTATTAAATTAGATTTAGGCTAAGACACAGATCAACTGCTGCTTCCCCCACAGCAACACACACGGGAAATGAACACAAACCCAGGCTTTGTCCATTTACAAAAATAGCTCTTACTGAGGTTTAATGCCTGTCTCCATTTTACAGATGTTCCACAGAAAAAAATCAACCTGCATATTTTATATATATATAAGAACAGAACTCACGACAAGTTGGAACATCGCCTCTGAGCTCGAGTCTTGTTTGAATGAGTGTAGAAGGTCACCTGGGTAAAACCTGCCTTTAGCTTGGTACAAATGTCTGTGGTAACGTCAAGTTTTCCCAACATTGATCCAGAGGAAACAACAGAACAAAGACTTCACAACGGAAACAGTAATTCCTCACAATACAGATAAGGAAAAAATCTGGTTTAGGTCGTTAAAAAAAAAATGCACCAATGTTTCCATGAACTATTAAGCAAAAAAAATGGCTACTATAGAGTTAGATAAGGGAGCACCTACAGGTTGGATCTTTCCTGCTTAACTTCACTAGGAAGCTAGAAAACTCTTTCTGGAGATAGGAAACCACCAGCAACCGGATCCTGACGAGGTAATCTTCATTACCTGGAAGTTTTGCAACTGCAGGCAAAACAAGGCGAGTGTTTGACCCTCTGGAGAGGCAAGCAGGCTGCTTTTAGAGACTCCTTATATTACAATTCTCCCTCCTCAACAAGGTTTCCGAAGCAAATGCTGAAACTGTCTCAAGTTAAGATATAAATAAATAAAGTGGAGTGACAGGACTCCAATGGGATATCCTGACTTATGCTACAGCAGAAAAGAAGTCTCTTGTAAATCCGAACAGAAAGTGGTTTGAAGTAATTTACACGTGGATCCAGACCCTGTGACGCTGTCACTTGGTTTTTGGTTCTTGTTTTCTCAGGTATTCGGGAGATTTATGTGGGATTTGGAGAGATGAACCGTATCCATTCCCAGGAGATCTGGATGTTGTCACAGGTAGCCAAGTGTTGCCAATGGAAGCTAAAACTGAGCTCTACTGCCCCACCACAGTGCTTAGTGAGGCAGGATGGGATTTGAATCAACTCACACCGATGCTTTGAGTGTCCCTTTAGTCTCGAGTGTGCAGGTCTAGGTTCAGAGCTGAGTTTAGGACAGACAGCAGCACTATTTATTAGCACGTATTAGTCCAGTCTCACAGCAATTAGAAAAGACTCAAGTGGCTCTTCAAGTTAGTCTGAGGACCAGGAGAACAGTGATGAAGTGGCACTATCCACCTGATGCACATGCTGCGGGGCTCAGCAGCGGTAACTCGGGGTCCCTGCGGTTATCTGAAGGCAGCAAGTGAGGTTGGGCACCTTTTAGTTCCTGGACTCGGAGGATGTGGGGCTGCGAACTGTTGACATCAGGTGGGACTTGTATGTCTTGCTCAAGCCAGTCATCCAGAACTTGAGCAGCTTGACGTTGTCCTCTTCGGCAGCTCCCAGGATGCTCAGCAGTTTTTGGGTATCCTCCTTGGGTCTGCTGTCCACTTTAGTGAATTTGAAGAGGACCTTCACTTTACTGTGGGAACAAGAAACTCCTGTTATTACAACGGATTTGCACATGTCAAAGAGGGAATGAGCAGTAAACTGCAGCTTCTCTCGGTACCTATTGCAAGAGAATGTTAATAACAGCTTCAAGCAGTATCCTGTGGAAACTTCCCATGCTTTGAATGAAGAAGAGCACAAGGGGGATTACTCATTTCCACTCGTAATATGCACAGTTCTAGTCTGTTTCTTCATTCTAGCGGAAGGTAAACCAATTCATTGTGACAACTGGGAACCTCCCTAGGAGACACATCTAGTGCCAATCAGGCCCTAAGGTAAATCCACAGAATCTTAACGTTCCATGAATTATTCCACATGACTGTCTGGTGTTCCTTTATACCTGCACCCTTAAAACGTAGTGCCTCAAGGCACAACCATGACATCTGTTTGGCATGTTATCTGCACCGGAATATAGCTCACATGGACAGGCACTTTTGGATTTGCAGACTTAATCCTCACGTGTATCAGGCAGACAAGTATTGTCATGTAGGTAAACCTACAGATGTGTGAACTGCAGCATAAAGGTTAAGAACTGCTGGCAGGCAAAAGGACTGCTCTTCAAGGTACTTCCAGTACCCAAAGGGGGCTACAAGAAAGCCTGAGAGGGGCTTTTGACAAAAGCCTGTAGGGACAGGACAAGGGGGATGGCTTTATACTGAAAGAGGGGAGATGTGGATTAGATACTGGGCAGAAGCTCTCCCCTGTGAGGGTGCTGAGGCGCTGGCACAGGGTGCCCAGAGAAGCTGTGGCTGCCCCATCCCTGGCAGTGTTCAAGGCCAGGTTGGACACAGGGGCTTGGAGCAAGCTGCTCTAGTGGAAGGGGTCCCTGCCTGTGGCAGGGGGTTGGAACTGGGTGAGCTGTAAGGTCTCTTCTAACCCAAACCATTCTGGGATTTCTATGACTGGAGTAGAACAACTCAGATATTCCCAGCTCCTAACAGCAAAGCCAACTACTGTCAACACTACAGCAGAAGTTACCTGACTACAAGTTTGTCCTGTACTCTGCTGTAACCATTCTGGGATTAGTGCCAAAGCTGTTTCTCTGAAAGCAATGCAGTCACACTTACTTCATCCACTCCTCCTTCAGGCAGACAAGGCACTGATCCACAACATCTACAGAAAGGTTCTGGTTGGTCAGGGCAGCTTCGATCTTGTTCAAGATTGTAGGACCAACTACAGCAGCAGAAAGAGGGGGAAAAGGGTGAGAAAGAGAACACAAACTATAGGTTACCCGCTTACACCTTTACTAGTCATTGTTAGCAAGGACCAGTCCATTTAATTCTATGGCCTGGATACCTGCTGGAATTACAGATAAGAATACATATTTGTTCCACCTCTTATTCTGTTTAAGTCCACACTCATTTTCCACCAGTTCTTTGGTCTGGTGCATTAATGCAGCTTCTTCTGCATGGAGAAAGCTACACTATTCGTAACAGCACAGCCAACTTCAACATAGGATTTGGCTCTATTAGTTCACAGATAATAATCTTCCTTGAGTCCAGAAGAAACCTGCATATTCCATAAGGAGGAAAATGTTCCCCCCAGTGGCCTGTCTTGATTTCACTTCAATGCAGCAGGAGCTAAAGATCACCCCACTAGAGAAACACCTGATCCAAGAAGCAACATGGAATTCTGTGAAGGAACGGGACTTGCAACAAAGGGGCCTTTGTTTTCTTCAGACCCATTTTAAACTGTTGTTTAGATTTTGTTGGTTCTAGTTTCGTATCAAAAGCTCCTTAAAAAATGCCAAGTTATGAAAAGTCTTCCTACTTTGTATAATACACATAAAAATATAAGCCCTCAGTTTTGAAGTCTCCGCTTCCTCTTCTTAAGGGCGGTTCCAGGGTACTTAGTAAAAAC